CTGGCCCGTCTACAAGAGGGTTTAGGGTTTAGGGTTTCGGGTTTCGGGCAGCAACGATGGAATGCTTCGTTTGCGCGTGTTTGCCTACGAGGATCACATGTCGTCACATGCAAGGAGCCAGCTGGACAAGCTCTGATTTCAATCTGGGTTCCTGTATCATCATTAGTATGGACTTGGGCATAATGGGAAACCAAGCCCTCCGCACCCATCCACCCAGGCAACCAGGCCCAAAACAACGGCAATCGAGGAAGCTTCCGGCGAGTGCGAAACTGACTCGTAGCGGTCAGTGGAGTCCTCCAGTTGGTTTTGGAGCTGCTTCGCCTTAGTTCTTTGCGATCTTGCATGCATGGTGTTTCTGTAATAGCGCGGACCACAGCGCTCATGTGGTTTTCGCAACCTTTCGACTCCTACGACTACAATGACAACGAGGGCGAGCCTGGCATGCCAATAAACCCACGCCATCCACCAGAAAGAGTCAGGGCTTTAACCTCCCCAAAAACCCACAAAGTAGCACCCTAAACCCTATAAGAACTATAATCCTAGCTGCACTAGAAGAACTAAAAGCCTAGGTGCGCTCAACCTAGGTTGCAACCTCGGGCTTCTTGGGCCCTTCCTGTCTTGGTCCGCGCCAGGTGGCCTTCGCGGTCGCTGCATCTTCTTTTCCCTTGGCCTCCTGCGGCTTCTTGCGGTTTGGGGGTTCTTGATGTTTTTTGTTTTTTGTGGTTCTTGCTTCTGCTTGTTCTATGCTCATGCAAAGATCCTCTATGAGGGAACAGTTGGGCCATATTCGGAGCGTAATGGGGGACGCCTTTAAGGGTACACGACCTTTGCCCTTGAACATGAGGTATAGACCCCAAGCCGCGAAGACGATGCTCCAAGTCCTCCAGTCGACTCTGGAGATCCTTGACCTGGTTTAGGGTTTAGGGTTTAGGGTTTAGGGTGAGGTGCAGGAGGTTTTTTGCCACCAGCACTGCACGCGCCATGCGGGCACCCGGTGCAGGAGGTTTAGGGTTTGGGGTCTAGGGATTGTATTCATCCGCATTCTCCTGAGCGCCATGTCTTGTTATCTGCGTGTTGCCCTAACCCTATCATGGTCATTGCTACTACTTGCAGTTTGTACTACCATTGCTGTTATTTGATCTTTGTTCACTACGTTGGATTGCCTCCTCCTTTTTTTTTTTTTGGGGGGGGGGGGTACGGGGAGTGGGTGAGCGTTGTTTCGCTAAGGGGACTCGACTGCTTACAGCCGAAAACGTGCTTTAGTAGACCATTATAACTCCACTTCGGACCTCGATGAGTGAGTCTTGGGTCTTGGGCTTACCTGTACGCCTTAATAAGATTTCATAACGGCCTCCGGAACGGCCTCCAGGGGGGGGGGGGGGTACCGTATTGGAGGGATTCGGAACGTCTTGACATGTCCTTTAGGGGGTGGTGGCGGGGAGAGGAGGTTCCGGGTGGACTTCGGTTTTAGCATGTAGGGTCAGGGGTTACGTAGAACTACTACAGTATCTACTTAAGAACGCCCCGCCCCCCCCCCTCCCCCCAAAAACAGGGGAAATGTAGGGATTGTTTTTTCCTTTTTTGGTGCTCTTAAGCAAATAGTAGAATAGAGGGATTGTTATCTTGCATTTTTTGGGTTCTGAAGCAAATAGTATGGGATGCTGCGGCACGCTATAAGAGCTTGCAAGAGACCTTCTTGGCGGCTGCCTCCTCTTTGGCCCTGGCCTCCTGGCTGCGAAATCTATCTGCTCTCAGGAACCCGCAGCCCAGTTTTGGTAGAATACCTAAGTGTGGTTTAGGGTTTAGGGTTTAAGGTTTAGGGTTTCAGGTTTACCTAAGTTAAGACTCTGCAGCTTCTCTTTTTGTGGCTTGAGACCTCTTAAGTACAAGAAGCAGCTTCTGTGGGTTCTGAAGACAAAGGGCCCTGAGTGTGATAAACGTCCAGTCGCGGGAAGTACAACTGCACCTAACCCTAAACCCTAAACCCTAAACCCTAAACCCTAAACCCTAAACCATTCTGTTTTGTCAGAATCACCCAAAATGCCGAAAGCATCTGACAAAAAGAGGTCTGGGCCAACCCCAACCCTCGGAATTCCGCGGAAGCCATGGGCTGCAGACTCCACATGCGTGAAGGGTTTAGGGTTTAGGGTTTAGGGTTTTAGGGTTTAGGGTTTAGGGTTTAGGGTATCTACCCTTAGAGCTCCCAGAGTCCATAATACCTTCAGTTCCGAACCCGAATCCCTTTTGAATCTGACCTGTGCCCCAGGTCATCCCTAAATTCTTAAACACTATTGTAAAAGCACAAAAAGGCCCTACAGCGCCACCGCTGTAAACGCCCAATAACCTTACAGACCCTGTCGAACCCTAAATTGGCATCAGCCCTGCAGTACCCCCCCCCTCCCTGTCCCAGACCAACTACATTCTTGGAGCGAAACTGGAGGGAATAAGCTAAGTAAACCTCCTTCTATAGTATAGGGCTCTTAGGTATGGCAAACTTGCACAAAAAGTAGGTCTTGGGCTTCTAAATTGGTCCCCTAAACCCTAAACCCTAAACCCTAAACCCTAAACCCTAAACCCTAAACCCTAAACCCTAAACCCTAAACCCCCTAATAGCAAGGGCCCCATCTCTGCCGAAGCCCCGACGACAAGAAGGCCACGAGCTGCGCCTCCAACGCGGCTGCGGCCTCTTTGGTCGACTCGGCCTCCCAAAGGCGAGGGTTTAGGGTTTAGGGTTTAGGGTTTAGGGTTTAGGGTTTAGGGTTTAGGGTTTAGGGTTTAGGGTTTAGGGTTTAGGGTTTAGGGTTTAGGCAACTTTGCGCCAAACCACTCCATAAGAATTCGAAAGGTTATTCTAATAACCTACACAGAATCCCGCATGGGGGGTTATATAGTGAACTCGTACTATAGAAACCCCATCTGGGACTCTGCGGTAAGCTACACGAAGTCAATGCCGCTTCGGGGGTTCTTTGCCCACCTCTCTGCTCTGCTTCCCACAAACCCATACTTAGTTGTCCAGCAACCTGGTGGGAATTAGAGGTTTACCTTGGGGAGTTTACAGGGAATAGAATACCCAAGGTCACCTACTCTACTACTAAGCACAAAGCCCATTCAGAGGGTATTCCAAAACATGATCCTCTGAAACCCAATAACGGAAAACACAAAATATCCAAAAGGCCTACCTAGAACCTGAACAAAACCTGAACAGCCCAAGGCATAGGATCGCGCGAGGGTTTAGGGTTTAGGGTTTAGGGTTCAGCCTGGTACTTCTTTTGCCTCGTTTCTTGCGAGCTAAGCTTGACAACGGAGGTCTAGGGTCTTCCTGAAAGCTGCGAGGCAAAATCCCACCGTCACCCCGCTCTCTATCCGCAACTCGGCACCGCCTCCCTAAACCAAAACCCTAAACCCTAAACCCCTAAACCCCTAAACCCTAAACACCTAAACCCTAAACCCTGTGCTGTGCCTGGCTCGCCGGGCCTTCGGCCGAAGCTGCAGCGGATGTCTGAAGCAGGGGATCGTTGCGGCTGAAGGTTTTGGGCATTGGCATTCTTCTTCAATGTCGTGCTAAAGAAAGGTTAACCTTTCATGATTCCTACTAATAAGGAAACAACCCAATGAGTTTGAAGTTCTAAACTAATGGCCAGAAGGCCCCAAGGTAGGGGTTTTCTGCCTTCGAGGCTGATGCCTACTCATCCCTGTACCCCGGCAAGCCGTGCGCCGAAACCTATGTGAACCCTAAACCTTACAGTAAGAGCCTCAAAAGCTACCTTCTTTTAGTAAGAACCTCAAAAGCAACATGAAGGGACCCTCATAGTAGGATGAAGGGACCCTCATACTAGGATGGCTCGGTAGCCTCGGCATTGGGGCTTGCAAGATAAACCACCCTTAGCCCTTTTTTGACTAAACCCTAAACCCCTTTTGCGGGGTGTCTCGGGTCACTCAGGGCCGCGCCTTGTCACCGTCGCGCTTGTGGCCGCACTTCCGGCAGAACAGCGAGTCGTTCATGAAAACGTTGCCGCAAACCGGGCAGTCCTGCCCGGGCTCGATGGCTAATCGGGTTCAGAGCTGGTCCTTCACTCCGGCGAATCGAGACTCGATGCAGGGAAGGACTGTTCAGGCATCGCCTTAAGATGTCCCACCAACCCCCCGGAATAACCCCCCCCCCCCCCCCCGCCCCTTCCCCGTCAACACCCGCAAAGTAGCACCACCGACACAACCACAGCACAACTACATCCACACCTCGTGGCGCTTGCGGCCGCACTTCCGACAGAACACGGCGTCGTCCGCGTAGACGTTGCCGCAGATGCAGGTCTGCCAGGTTCCAAAGCTTACAGGGATTGTAGGGTTCTGAGGTCCAGGGTTCTGAGATAAAATGAGCTTTTTGGTGGGACTTCCCTAAACCCTAAACCCTAAACCCTAAACCCTAACTCCTAAACCCTAAACCCTCCACGGCTTAGGGCTACATCCTCCCCTCCAGTTCGAGGTCGGCACGCTCCATGATGGGCCCTTTAAACCCTCGGACAAAGACTCCTAATATGTGATCTCCCCTAGAATAAGGGGAAATCAAAGGTGCTGGCACTTGAGATCGAGGCGCTACCTCTCTCTCGCTTGCTTTCCGAGTCTCTCTCTCTCTCTCTCTCTCTCTCTCTCTGTCTCTCTCACCTGCAGGGAAGGCTTCGGGAACAGCCTCGGTTGGGCAGCAGCGCCTACTTGTAAATTCAGGTTTTAACTACATATGCATATATATATATATATTATGTATATATATATATTATTTATTTATTTATTCATATATATATATATACATATTTTGTTGTCTGATAAGCATGTGTGTGTTTGCTTCGAATTCACCATTTTCGAAAACCCTTTATCGGAGTCTTTCGCTCCTAGAAAGAGGTAGGTGTTGGGTTAAAGGCAAAGTGCGGGTGGCCGGTGGAACTCGGGGACTCAAACAACTGCCAACGGCGCTCCGAATTCTCCACAGCCAAGCCATGTCTCGTGCGTCACCGCTCCATGACATCATACCTCACTTTCAGAGCAGCTGCAATCTTTGTCTGGCCATCCGTGATCATGTGCCGAATCCCAGCCTGAAATGTTGCTTTTACCACAGAGTCCGGAAGAGGAAACCACCAAGGAATGACCAAGTGCATTGAGCCACGAGAAACATGCTGCACAGACAGGTCCGTACCACTCTCTCTCCAGGTCATACTGTTCTGCCAGTTGAGGCTGAATGATTTCGCATCGAACTTTTGGAACTTAAACTCTTGTGTGTCTTTGTCCCACTTGCCAATCTCAAAGTCAACCACCTCGACATTGACGGCCCCGGGCTTCAGCGTCAGCTTGCATGTTAGTCTTGCCTGGTTCTTCCAGGTACCCATGGTGGTGGGCTTCATGTAGGCATGCCACATCCCTTTCTGGCCTTTAACTTCTTCGGTCTTCTCCGCACCGGCCGCCAGAATTGTCACAGCCTCGCGCTTCATCAGATGATTCATCCCAGCTACCGTGGCATTTGGCACCGGAACTGACTTGACCTTTTCCGCGGTGATCTCCAGCACACGACCATGGGCTCTCCACGATGTTGGGTGCAACGACTCCGCGTCCGGGGCATCCGATGGTTCTGTCAGCGTTGCGAAAGACCTTGCTGACACAAGGCCGCAAACAGCAGCGCAAAGGCGCAGAAAGCTCGAGCTTGCGAGGCCTCGTCTCTGCAGCCGCCGCGAGCGTGTCGGACACAGGACTGGAGCTGCCTGGGGACGGAGAGGTGTCTGACAAGGCTGGGGGTAGACCAGCGCCATGGCTCCTTGCACATGAAAAATCACGCCGTGGGAGCCTCTTCATGTTGATTTGTTGAACACTGACTCGGAGAGCGTGAGTTTTTACGCCATAGGTTTGACTGCTTCGCGGGGAACGCAGCACACTGGTTGAAATCTCTGGAGTTCACCTTGAGCCAACTGACTACGGGGAAGAGTGGTGTAAGCATTCTTTCTTTCTTTCTTTCTTTCCCGGAGCTTTCGGCTTCTGCTGCGACGGTGCCCTAACCCAGCTAACCCTCCACTTTTTCAACCCGAAGCTGAGTGCCATGCCGGGAAAACACACAATACACCAAACACCCTCATACACCCGCCTCTGCTGGCGTGGCCGCCGCCTCCTGACCGGCCTGGCCCTCCTTGGACTCCTTCCAGGTCAGAGGCTATAGTTGCTGAGTACGGCCAAAACAGAAGAGCCGCTAGCCTTGCAAGTAGAGAAGGATGATATATGCTCAGCAACCAAGGGTGAAGGATTCATCAGGATGATGCGGTTTGGGGCTTACACAGGGCTGTAAAGGGGTTTACCCCCGCCCATACACGCGCTCAAGGTCTCTTGCATCTCGGAGAACAAATTTAGCCTACCTCCCCTGCCCAGAGAACCAGCGCGCGCAGGAAACAGATTTGGCACACGCGCATGGGCAGACGGAGACTGTGTTGGCCCCCTACAAGGCTCCTGAGGCCCTGGAACTTACAAAGGGTTGGGATGCAGGACCTGACCATGAGAGGCCGCAAGTCGTGCCACATACACCACCACGAAGTTATGTCCCATCCAGACACCAGGATGACACGGGAGTTGGGATTTCAAGCGTAGGAAGTTTGACTACTATGACTATGCCCCTTCGTTGAGCTCCGGAAAGGCTCAGCAAAAATTGGCCCTAACTCCTAAAAACCCTAAACCCAAAACCCAAAACCCAAAACCCCTAAACCCTATAAACCCCTAAACCCTAAACCCTAAACCCTCAAGTCCTAACAGTCGGACCAAACCCAAACTCCGCAAGAGGGGCCTGGGCATCGGCTGCCTGCGCGGGGGTCGCGGCCTCCTTGGCCTCCCGGGCCTCCTTCGGGTTTAGGGTTTAGGGTTTAGGGTTTAGGGTTTAGGGTTTAGGGCCTCCTGGTTTTAGGGCTTTAGGGGTGTTTAAGGCTTTAGGGCCTCCTGGTTTTAAGGGTGTTTCGGTGTTTAGGGCTCAAAAGGGGCTTTAGGGTGTTAGGGGCGTTTAGGGCTTTAGGGGCGTTCAGGGCTTTGGGGGGCTTTCAGGTTTTTTAGGGGTGTTTAGGGTTTAGGGGCTTTAGGGTTTTAGGGGCTAGGGCCTTAAGGTTTTTGAGGTGCTTAGGGCTTTAGGGCTTTTAGGGCTTGGGGCTTTGGCCTCCTTGGCTCCTGGAGCGCACGTGCGCTGCGAAGCAACTAGCGTTTATAGGGGGTTAAAGGGGGCCAGGGTCTTAGGGTTTAGGGTTTTAGGGGTTTATGGGGGTTAGGGTCTCAGAGCTTTAGGGGCTTAAGGGGGCTTGCTGTCTTTTTTGTTTTGTGTTTTACCTTTTTGGAGTTTTGGGGCTGCTAGCCAGAGGATGTCGGAGGTTTGCTTAGAGGCTCGGGCTTCGGGCGTTTAAACCCATTTGGCCCCGCGAGCTCTGCCGGGTTTCAGAGCTGTCCAAGCAGCCCTCATGAGCACAAACCCTAGACCCTAAACCCTAAAACCTAAACCCGAAACCCTAAACCGTAAACCACAAACCCTAAACCCTAACCCTAAACCCTAAACCCCAAAACCCCAAAACCCTAACCCTAAGAACCTGACCTGGAGGCGCTGTTCCAGGGAGTCTGCGGCTGCCTTGGCCGACGCCAGCTCCGCCTCACTCTCACTGTTTTCTTTTTTAGGGTTTAGGGTTTAGGGTTTAGGCGGGGGTTTAGAGTCTCGGGCTTAGGGTTTAGGGGTTAAACTCCTACTACACATAAACCTGAGTTGCAATTTCATTTTGTTTGTCGGATTGTTACAAAAAACCTACAAACCAAAAATGTAAGTTTTTTTGGGGGGGGTTCCTAAGATAGGGTCTAAGGGGCATCCTGCCTTTATATGACTGACGGGCCTGTCCGAAAAATCATTCTGCTTCAATACTATAGGTGCCTTAAGGACTAGAAGTAGCATAAATATATATGGACCATAAAGGGATACTTTTACTTAATCCCTGTTCCCCTAGGAAGAAAAAAGGATCCTTTTTGTTCATATATAAGAAAGCCCATAACCCAAAAAGTAAAAAGGATCCCTAACACTGATGGAGTTTAGTAACTATTCCGACTACGATATTAAGCCCTCTTTGTTTTTTGGAAAACCGGGCCGGGGCTCTGCACAGCGGGCGGCGCGACTCTGAGGAAAGCTTCCAGATTTTCGATGGTTTAGGGTTTAGGGTTTAGGGTTTAGAGTTTAGGGTTTAGGGTTTAGGGTTTAGGGTTCAGGGTTTAGAGTTTAGGGTTCTGCCTCACTTGGGCTACGACGAGCACCATCCGTAGATTTCGGGCACGGCCAAATAGAAGAAAGAAGGGGCAACCATGTAGGTAAATGAAGGAAAAAAGTTAAACTGTAATTATTCTACTAAATAAGGAAACCCAGCGAGTTTTAAGTTCTACCATTGGCTAAGTAAGGAACTGGCCAAAGGATGGGAAGGCTAGGCAAACCGACTTCTCATACGCAAACACAGAACCGTCCCCAAAATTCCTGACACTTCACTCCACTCGAGAATAGCCCTAAACCCTGAACCCTAAATCATAAACCCTAAACCTTGCGCCTCCTGCCGCTTCACCGCATCTTCTGCATCGTTGAGCTGTGCCTGCAGCAGCTTGGCGGCCTCCTTGGACTCCTCAGCCTGGATTGAAAGATGGGATTCGGATGGGGGTTTGGGGCGTAGGGTTTAGGGTTTAGGATTTAGGGTTTATAGGGCCAGGGTTTAGGGTTTGGGGTTTAGGGCTTCAGGTTTATAAGGTTTGGGGGGGGATTGGTGAATCTGGGTTGTCGGCGTGCCGAAGCTCAACGGCCAAAAACCTGAAACCCTAAGCCCTTTTTCTTGCATGAAGGCCTCTGAGACGCTAAGGGTTTAGGGTTTAGGGTTTAGGGTAAGCCCTTTTGCATCCGGACTTGGAAGTTGCGGCTCTCAATGCACAGCACATGCCCTAAACCTTGTTTTGCACCCCTCAAACCTCACAGGAGATCACGTAAGCTTATAAAGGGGCCATAAGGGAATACGATTCCCTAAACCCTAAACCCTAAACCCTAAACCCTAAGCCCTAAGCCCTAAACCCTAAACCCTAAACCGACCCCTTTCGTAGGCCAGCGGCTTCCTTCTCGGCCGCCGCCTTGGCGGACTCGCTGGCAGCGTTGGCTTCCTTGGCTTCCGCCAGCCTCGGCCGCGTCTTCGGGATGAGAAATGGAACTTGGGGAACAGGGTTTATAGGGTTGATAGGGTTGATAGGGTTTATAGGGTTTATGGGGCTTATGGTGTTTATAGGGTTTACAGGGTTTAGTCTCGTATGGGCTATTCGGGCCCCAAACACAAAGTTTCAGAACCCTAAACCCTAAACCCTAAACCCTAGACCCTCAAGAATCTAAACGTTCTTAGCAGCAGCCCTAAGCATCTTCAGTGCTTCAGGGCGTCCATGGGTAGACGTCCACCCGATCAGAGGTCTTTTGTAAGCTTACACATATACATACCTATACATGTATGAACCAGGAAAATACCTTTTTGTAGGTTACCTCCAGGAATAACCTTTTTGTAGGTCACCCCCAGGAAAAGCAACTGCCAAGCAACAACCTACGGCAAAGATGTGGATTTAGTGGTTCCTTGGTTCCTTGGTTCCTTCGCCGTCGCAAGGCCCCCATCTAAACCCTAAATACCCTATAATACTCTATAAAACTTAAACCCTAAACCCCGAACCCTAAACCCTGAACCCTGAACCCTAAACCCTAAACCCTAAACCCTAAACCCTAAACCCTATCCGAAGGCTGCCCAGCAGCTGCGAGGTCGTGAGTGCAGCGGTCTCCTCAGAGGCCTGGAGGGCCTTCTCCAGCTCCGCGGTGCGGTCCTGCAGCTCCTTCGGATAAAGCAGGGGGTTTAGGGTTTAGGGTTTAGGGCTAGGGTTTAGGGTTAGGGCTTAGGGTTTAGGCTATTGGGGTTTAAGGTTTAAGGGTTAGGTTGGCTTTAGGGTTTGGCAGCTGCCGAGGGGCACCCCCCCCTCACAGGTAAGAGGGGCCCTGTGTTGGCTTAGGGCAGAACTACTACTTGCTTAAGAACCTAGAAAAAATATTCTTCCACATAGGGACTATTATTTTTGTTCTTCTTTTGGTGTTCTTAAGCAAAGGTTCTTAAGCAAACAGGAGAGAAGTCCCTTAGAGGGGGTCCAAATATTTCAGAGGGGTTCCAGAAGGCCGAAGAAGCCTTGGGCCCCCCACACATAAAAACAAAAACGCAATAACTCGGTTTTGGGCTCTAGGGTTAGGGTTTCGGGTTTAGGGCTCAGGGTTTAGGAGTTCGGGCCACTCCCTATTAAGTACTGTTACATCCCGAGCTTAGGGCTTGGGGCGGATGCCGAAACATCTGAGGACACCGAGCCCACACCAGGCCAACTCTTGACCCCCGAACTTCAAGCCACGACAGAAGTATTTCTCAAAATGGGGCCGGGGGGGGGGGGGTACTCTTTCATGCTTTCACCACAAGACTATAGTCCTAGTAGTAGACACCTCCCAAAAGAGGCACATTCTTTTCGGTTTTTGGGTCCTTCCCAAGACCCTTTACAGTAGGCGCATCGAACCCTATTATCCCCAAACCCTAAACCCTTTTTGAGCAACGGACTTTGGAGGCTGCCGGCAAACATGAAACTTCTTAGAAGTCACATCACGCAAAACATCACGTAAACTGTTCTTTCTATGCACCCATATCACCATGAGGAAGCACACGTGAATTAAAGACCCTAAACCCTAAACCCTAAACCCTAAACCCTGAACCCTAAACCTAAACCCTTTTTAAGACTGGAACTGAGGCCAGGGCAGCATCCATCCAAACCCTAAACCCTAAACCCTAAACCCTAAACCCTAAACCCTAAACCCTAAACCCTAAACCCTAAACCCTAAACCCTAAACCCTACATCTTCAGAGAGTCCAAGCACAAGTCTGCCCCCCTGGCTCCTGCAGCTGCGCGGTGAGCTGCGCCAAGGTGTCCTGGGTCTCCTGAAGCCTTGGACGACAGGAGCTGGGGCTGAGAGGGCGACACAAGCGCCTTGGCGACAAAGCAAGGAGAACCCCTAGGGTTTTGGGGGTTTGGGGTTTAGGGTTGAGAGCTTAGGGATTAGGCTTCAGGGTGCAGGGTTTAACCCTGACCCCTAAACCCAACCTGACCCCTAAACCCAACCACAGCTGCCGGGACTCGAGGAGTGCTCGACCCAAGGAGTGTTGAGCCAGAAGCCCCCCCGGGAGTGGTGTTTGTGGCTCATCGAAGCCCATCCGCAAGTTCTGGACTACGCGGTGGTCGAAGGTGACATGCAGAGATTTTATGGGGCTTAGAAAACCTCAGGGCCCCGGCCTGACACCCGACTTTTTTTTTTTCTTTGGGGGGGGGGGGGGGGGGGGGAGGGAGGGCGGGAGAGAGGAGCGAGAGAGCTTTCATTGCAGAGCACACCGCGCATGCATATGTTTGCAAAGGCCATCTCTTTGAAACACCCAGCCAACGACCGAGGCTGCAACTAATCATGGGTACAGGGCGTGCGTGTGTGTATACATATATATGGTACCCCCCCCTCCCGGGACCTACCTTTTTTAAAGCTTGTATTGCTCAGGTTGGTCTCGTGGGGTTTGGGAGAGATTAAAAAAAATATAATATAATATTAATGAGGCTCCTGGAGGGGGCAATTTCAAATGCCCCTTGGATCCGAAATTTTCTAAGTACAAAGGGTGCCCCTGTACTTTGTCTCCCGGGCCCCCGGGGGCCACTTTAAAGTACTTTAAAGTGGCCCTGGATCCAAGATCCAAGATCCAAGATTCCCCAAAAAGTTTTTTTAGAATCTTGGATCTTGGATCTTGGATCCAGGACCACTTTAAAGTACTTTAAAGTGGCCCCTGGGGGCCCAAATCGTCTAAATGGTGCCCCTGTACTTTGTCTCTCGGGGCCCCCGGGGGGCACTTTAAAGTACTTTAAAGTGCCCTCTGGGGGCCCAAATCGTCTAAGTACAAACGGTGTCCCTGTACTTTGTCTCCCGGGGCCCCCGGGGGCCACTTTAAAGTACTTTAAAGTGGCCCTGGATCCAAGATCCAAGATTCCCCAAAAAGTTTTTTTTTGGCATCTTGGATCTTGGATCTTGGATCCAGGGCCACGTTAATGTACTTTGAAGTATCCCCTGGGGGGCAATTCGTCTAAGGAGAGAGGCTCTGGGCGCCATAATCCTCAACATTTCAATTGTACAGCAACTCGATACCTGCACTCAGGTCGTAACCTTCAATCTTTCAACCAAGACAGCAAAAAGGATTGCCCCTCCCTCCCCCTCCCTCCCTCTCCTGTCCGCTCCGCTCCGCTGCACTCTCTGGTCGTTTGTTAAGGGCTTGTTCAAGGCTGATAATTGAAACCTTATCGGTTAAGGGATTAGGGTTTGAACCAGAAGGCCCGAAACTCTATAGGATTTAACCCCTAAGCCTTAAAGCCTATAGGGTTTAGGCTCAAACCTTAAACCCTAAACCTTTTAATCATACATAGGGTTTGAAGGTTAAGCAATTAGACTTAATCCTTAATCGTAACCCTTTAAACCCCATAGTGAAGATCTTAAGGTTTAAGGTTTTAGGTTTAGGCATGTAAAAATAAGCCGGCAAGTAAACCTACACCCTTGGCCTTAAAGCCCTGGGGTTAAGGGGGTTAAGGTTTAGAGGTAGAGTTTAAACCCACGTGTTTAAGGCCTAGGCATTTACACGTTGACCCTAAACTCTTTAGGTTCAGAGCCCGAAAACCTTGTAGGACGCGAAAAGGTTCAACGGTGTTAAGCCTATAGGCGCTGATGGTATATTTGCCCAGGCCTTAGGTTGTTTGAACCATTTAGCCCTATAGGGCTGGGCTAAAGGTTTAAGGCTTTTCAGGGTGTATCTCTAGAACCCTCACGGGGTTAGCCCTCTAGGGGGTACATCCTACAGGGTAAAAAGTCTAGGGTTTAAGATTCAAGCATTGCCTGTAGAATCAGAACCTTACGAACCTCCAGGGCTTGGGGCATAAACCCCTAAACCTTAAATCCCATAGGGTTATGCCTATGTTCGTAGGGCTTGCCTCCTGTGGAAATGCAGAGAGAACACAGTATACGTACTCACATCATGTATGTACACGGGGTATATGTCTTGTAAATCAAATACAGATGATGGAGAAGGAAAGATGGCAAGTCTAGAATCATAAGACTAGGAAGTATTCGAGTGCATAGGGTGATGCGAAAAGTCATTTACAGTAAGTGTGGGGGACGTGAAAAAATACTGTGAGCAATTATCCTATCCCGCTCACCACCCTTAATGTTTCCCGCAGTCCAAAGCAACCGGGTATCAAGTCCGTACTATTTGAATTTCACATTAAAGGGTCATACCCTAAAACGTTGTCATTTGGAAGTCGTTCAGCTTAACGTCTGATAAGAACCTGTTGGGCTTCAAATTCATATTTAAACCAAATTGCTAATAACAGCCTACACCTTAAGTGAACTTCCTCTGAGAAGTCTTCTGGCCTCGTTCGTAATAGTAATAGAAAAAAATAAATTCTAAGACTACCCTGTCCAATCCTCCTCTGGGCCTCGTTCGCATGTGGGTTGGCTTCGATGTTTAAATTTGAATTGCACACCTTCTGCAATCCTCTTACGGGGCCTGACAAAACAAGATGTCATTAGATCCTATATTCAGAGGTCACAGCCTGAAACCCCCTCATCTGGGCTTGCTTCGTAAGTTATTGAAAAAATGAGCTGAGAAAAGAAGGCCACGCACTAGGAAATTATCGTCTGGGCTATGTTTGTGAGTAAACCGAATTTTAACAAGTACATTAACTGGCCACAGCCCAAGACATCCTTGGTATGGGAAATACATCTAGTTAACTTAGTTAACCGTATATTAAAGACCACACGGTATCACATCCTCCTCTGTCCCCCTATTCGCATAGAAATTTATTTGGAATTTTAAGTTCTAAGGCCACACCCTGAGACATTCTCATCCGAACTTCGTTTGTAATTCAACTTGATGGATTAGAACTTCAGAAAAACTAACCAACAACACTCGAAAAGGTAGGTCCCGGGAGGGGGGGGTAGCATATATATATATATATATGATGTACAATAGATAAAAGAATCATATGACTGACGTCTATCAATGACAAGAATCGTCATTGTATATTGCTATTATGACCATTAGTGTTGTTGCTATTCATAATTATATATACAAAACGGGGGACTGTGGGCGTGCACTTTCTCTGCCTTTTGTCGCTGTTTAAGAACTAAAAAAACCCCAGTAGCAACAATATTTCTAGACTCTCCAGTCCCACGGATAACTAAAAACCTCAAAAAATCAAACACTAATTCGGGACTCTCCACCAAAACCGTACGGAAAATCGTACGGAAAACCAAAAAAACCAAAAGAACCAAAAAAACCAAAAGAACCAAAAAAAACAATATTTCAGGACTCTTCCAGCAGATGGCCTAATTTCAAAGAGTCCCTGAAAATTGGTTTTTTTGGTTCTTTTGGTTTTTTTGGTTCTTTTGGTTTTTTGGTTCTTTTGGTTCTTTTGGTTCTTTTGGTTTTTTTGGTTCTTTTGGTTCTTTTGGTTCTTTTGTTTTTTTTGGTTTTTTGGTTTTCCGTACAGATTTGGAGAGTCCTGAAATATTGTTTTTTTTCGTTTTCCGTGAGAATTTTGTGGAGAATCCTGAAATATATCTGTTTGGCTGTTATGTTCTTTTTGCGAATTTTGGCTTTTCGTGTAGTCTTTTTGTGTTTTTGTGCGTTTGTGGTTTTTTCGTGCTTTTCCGTACTGCCTTTCCTTCCTGAGCCCCCCCTTTCCCTCTAAGAAAATTGTGCTTTTCTACGCGTTTCTGTGCAAATTGTGCTTTTCTAGGCATCGTATATAGAGAGTACTGTAATTAATGGGTACATGAATAGGTTAGTTTCATATTCAAGTGGCATGTAAAGAGCGTTTGAGCATTGGTTCTGCCACCAAACCCCACATTCCCATGCTCAGTGCTATAGCCTTTACTGGGTGGATGATATGGTTCTTGGAAATTTGTGCTTTTCAAGGCTTTTCTATGTAAATTGTACTTGTCTAAGCAAATATAGTATATAAATGGTATTTCATTAGTACGTATTTGAATTAGTTTTCTGTAGTCCAGTACCATTTACTGAGCATTATGTCATATTCTGTGTATAATCAATAAATCTTGTACTCACCCAATAGTTGAAGATTCACTGACTGCTAGATTGGTAGAATCAGCATGTAATGAGTATTGCATGGTTGGGCTATATTTTGCCGAGTAGAAGCAACATTTGTCTGGAAGCAGGTTTGTTGCCTAGAGTTATTTGCTTAAACAGTTGCTTTATTTCTCTAGAGAGACTTTAAAACCCCCAAATCCAAACTTCACCAGAAGTTCCCCTGAAAAGCTTGCATTTCGGGATGTTTTTTGCGTTTGTGAATTTACTTGTGCTGTGACCTTTGTGAGGCAACAACCACTTTACTATGAGAATTGTGCATTTAAAGCCTGTCTCTTTTCAGGCATCGCGCATCAGTAGTCTTTAACTAGTACTTCAGTAGCATTGGTTGCATTACTACGAAACTCAAGCCGCTTCTATTTCAATTAGTGTCTAGTGCGTACTTTACTTGTACAAAAACAGTCTTTAAAATTGAATTTATTTAGTCAATAGTCAGCTATATACTAAGTGCTGCAGTAGTTAAACTCGCATAGGGCGAACGTTTTGTATAAAATACATTGAATATTTCATTCATGCGCAACAACAAAGTACTTCAGTGGACTTTCCGTATGGTATTTGATTAATACTTTGCCTTGCGAACCTACAATATCCAATAAAACAAAATTCTTTGCCCTTCGTTGCCAAGATAAATTAACACATACAAACTACAAAGCCAGCATTGCCCTGTCAAGATTCAAAACATAGAGTAGCCCCAATGCTGGCTTATCGGAGCCTGTGAGGTGGGTGTCCCAATTGTCCCAATAGCTGTCCTTCATTTCCCGGTGCTCAAATATGCGATTTTAGGATTCGTTCTTCTGACTATACTGAGAAAAGCTGAAGCAAGGGTAGGTCGTTGGGAGGCGGGACCGACACCATTCCCACAGGACGATCGCACTTGACAGGTCGTGTCTCTTGTCCCTTGAGTTTTTGACCTGCTACTTGACCAACAGCCTCATCGAAAGTGAATTCTCCGTCTTGTCCTCCTAGTTCACGAACTGAGCCAGGTATAGACTCACCTGGATATCTTGCCATAGCCCAAAACACTGGGATACTCACTTGATCTGAAAAGCTGTTTCGATGTGATCAAGGCCTGGCATGAAGCGTAGTAGCACTTCATTCATAGCATGTTCTCACATAAATAACGAAAAGGCAATTTCATAATTAAGATAAGAGAGATCACCACCTCAAGATTGAACGATAGTTCTCAAGTACGAGAGAGTAAAAAAAACAGAAAAAAGTGCACGCCCACAGTCCCCCGGACTCTATATATACATATAAGAACAAGATTAATAACGACAATAAGTCTTCATATTTAAGTTGTCACTACACACATCTGGAATCCGAGGAGCTGCGTCTCGAGGTCGGCTTTAGCTGTGCAGCAGGTAGTCGTCGCTGCCCGGGACTCCTAGAGGCTTCCCCTTAAGGTGCGGCAACCCTATGAAACCTATGAAGGCGTGGGTTTAGGGTGTAGGGCTAGGGTTTAGGGCTTAGGGTGTAGTGTTTAGAAACCTGTGAGACCATGAAGCCCTAAGCCCACAACTCCACCCAAACCCTCCCGCCCCAAAAAACCCAGATACTTCTAAAGCCCCTGCGAAACATGGGAGAACCTTCCCAAAACCTTGAGACCTCAACCACCCGCCCTCCCTTTGTCCATTCCTAAAGCTCCAACTCCCCTCCCCCCCCCAACAAAAAAAAACAAAAAGCAACAACTTAGAATGAACAAAACAACAAACACATGCATATCCAACATAAAATATGCAAAATGAACATAAACATAAATATGGAAAACAAATATATATATATATGTATATATATATATACATAGATCTCTCTCTCTGTATATATAACAGAAGAAAAGGCACAACCGCGTCCTCGAGCTGCTCCGACAGTGCCGTGGCCGCCTCCTTGGATGCACGGAGCTCTTCCTGGGCAGACAAGAAGGGGGCTTCCGGAAGTGGGGTTTAGGGTTTAGGGTTTTGGGGTCCCTTGAAGGGGATTCTGCTCTATTTGGGATAGAAAACGGGGACCTCTAAGGTGTCCCCCCCCCCCCCCCAAGGGCAAGGTTTAGGAAATCCGGCTTTGGGAGTTTAAGGCTTAGGGTTTAGGACTTTCCGGCTTTGGGAGCTTAGGGTTTTTTAGGGTTTGCGGGGTTTGTAGGGTTTCGACTCTCACACCTCGCACGAAGCAGGCAAGGCTTCAAATCCGTCCACGCTTCTTTTCTTGAGTGAGGGGCTGCAGTGCACTATGACTTTGCCCTGGGACGCTACTCTGCCCTCTGATTTGCTGGCAGCTTTGCCCTTCTGTTGGCCAGGACTCCAATCGACCCATCATCACTGCCCACACCATACCCTATGTTCAGCTTACGTCGGTCGGCTACTAGGCTAGCTAGCAAGAAACCGAAAGCCCGCTCAGTACAGCCAAGGGAAAGGATGACGAGTCAGGACAGCCTGGGTGACTGCGCCAGCAAAGGCGAGCATAGCCAGACGTCCATTCTTGAGCTCGGCCAAGCGCATCTTCTTCTGGCCCTCCTCGTCGCTGGGGAACCAGCTGGTAAGACCGTAGTCACCGGCGACCTCCAGAGAATTCCATTCGAAGACCTTCTTCGTGCAGCAGAGCTCCACGAGGCTGACCCAGAACAAGATTTGGGCGTTGACACCTGGAGGTTTCCCAAAATAGGGCTACCCTCTTTGGGGGTTCCTATAATAAGGATTAGAGTATATTTGGGGTATTTTTGGATTTTAGGGGTACCCGTATTTTGGGAAATGCCCACCTGTGGCACCGCGGAAGGCTTCGTGAGCATCGATGGAGACAGGCACGGCCTCGAAGGAGAACTTCTCGCCGGGCAAGCGGACGAAGTCCGGGACCACCAAGCCGAGCCAGGCGAGCATACAGATGCGGCCGTGCTTGAGCTCTGCCTCACGAAGCCAAGGGACCTGCTCCGTTTTCGAAGAGAAGCCCAAGGGATCGAACTCGTAGCGGCCCCAGGCACCCTCGGAACCCACCAGGCCCTGCGCGAACTTGCCGTTGTCAAGGAGATCGATGCCGGAGTCCTCATAGGCCACGGCGAGCTCGCGGCGAGCTGACTTGCAAGCGGCCTTGTGCACCGTGCGTGCACGCACCGGGCGTGCCGAGGCGAGCGCCGTAACTGCCAGAGCGCCGCCGGCAGCAATGGCACCAATGGCGCCCACGCTGGAGCCTGCGCCAGCTCCGGTAGAGCCACGGAGCTGCGGAGCAGCCGTTGCACGCTCCCCTGCGCCTGCAAAGCCTGGCAGGAAGGTGGGGGCCACGAGGCCGGCGGCCGCCGCAGCGGCAAGGCAAGCTGTCGTCTGGCTGCTAGGCATGGTGAGCAGAGCGTCGGCAGGATGTCCCCCCAAAAAAAACAAGCCTGGGCCAAATGGCTTGCAAGGTCTGGCAGTCGAGGATTTGAGGGTCTTGACCTTGGGGTTCGGCTTTTTGCGGGGCTTGAATCAACTCTGACTCGGCCAACTCGTTGATATGCAATCACTATGTAACTGACTCCGAACACGCCACAAGCAAGGAAAGATTCAGGCAGGTCTGCCCTGATCTCTACTATATCACCCTCCAGATTGCGAATTCATCATGTGCAAATGAAAACACCTGAACCTGTCCTAGGTCCTATAGATCCAACGATCAAGACACCCCACACAAGAAACTACACCCATTCTGGTGCAGCCAAAGCCTCGCCAAGCGCGGCATACTTCTCGCGTGCCTCCTCCAGACTCACCTGCCCATGAGTAACCCTAAACCCTAAACCCTTTTTTGCATACCCAAAACCCTTTGTTTGCACCCAGACATACCCTATTCCCTAGACCCTAACCCCTAACCCCTAAATGCGGGCTTAGCTGCTCAGGGTTTCAGGGGATTTTGGGTGGCCACTTACCTGGTTCTCGTAATTAAGGGATTCTACAGGGTACCTCATGCCCTCCTTCCCTACTCAGAACCAGCCAGGTGCTGACTCTCAGGGTGCACCGCAGGGCAACACCCTGCACCGCAGCCGGCCCAGCCGACTGGGTTACATGGCAGGCCCGACTTTGAGGTTTAGGGTTTAGGGTTTAGGGTTTAGGGTTTAGGGTTTAGGGCAAATAAGTTGAAAGCCCTTTGGAAACAGCTACGGGCCACACTCGCCACCTGATCGAAGGGCATACCGAGGCCCCAGCAAACCAAAGGTACCAGAGAGGTTATGTTTAGCGTTAAGGGCTTAGAGCCATTTTGTGGGCCTATGACGATGGAACGGGTCATTTGGGTAGTTTGGATAGAACAGGGATGCGAATTTGGAAGGTGACAATGTTAAGCTTAGGCCCCCCCCCGACTTCTTGATGAGGATTCTGGTGAGAGGTGGTGCGGGTGATGGTTTTGTCGCACGTCAAGGCTATTGGGCTCGATCAGCACAGTACTTGCAATTCCGAAGCCGGGTGCTGTGTGATGTTGCCGTGCGCTGTGAGCTGCATGTGCACGTTTGTTTCTGCACTTCCGATTCCGCGCTTGCACGAAGCAGGCAAGGCTTGCAGGGGGGTTTAGGGTTTAGGGTTTAGGGTTTAGGGTTTAGGGTTTAGGGTTTAGGGTTAATTAAGAATACATTTGCCTCACACACTGCGCCGCAGCCCACGGGTCAGATGGGCTCCGGTGGACTCCTATGAACCCTACCCGTATCCTAAGCTGAGCAGGGTCCCCCTTGCTCTTCCAACTCATTCAGGGGACTTGTCACCCACAAGGTACCGCCCAAACTTTCAACCCTTGTCGGCCCCATAAACCCTAAACGCTAAACACTAAAACCCTAAAATCCTAAACCCCACAACCCTAAAAGCCTAAACCCTTGTAGGGTTCATGCCCTCCATTTGCACGGCCCGAGTCTTAGCTCTGAACGTCTTGTGGCCCTTCACTTCAGAACCTCAAACCTACCTACAAGAAATCCTATATGGTCATGTGGTCAGTTCTCCAAATGATGGTCCCTTTTTGGCTACCCTAAATAAGAGGGGCCGCCTTATGATCAGAACCCCAAAAGGGACCAGCTTTTAGAGGAGTGGCCATATGGAGCTTTACGACAATAACTTACCGAAAGATGCGGCGAAATATTTCTCAAGGTACTGTCGAGGCCCATCAGACATCGTCTCTTCAAGCTCAACTTCGGTTTGGAGCTTGCTGCTCCACTATTTAGGGTTTTTTTCTTTTGGTGTCCTTCTGTTGAACAGGATATGTCACGGATGCTGAACTGGCTTTCCTCTTGAAGCAATCGTTTCGGCATTGTTCGCAGACGGACTGGGAAATAGACCTGCGGCTCAGCAAACAAACATCTATCTGAAGTGGCCCGGTTGTTGGACGTCCTCACATCACACTTCACGAACTTCGAAAGCTGGCCGCGCAGAAACATCGAGATTTCTTCATACATCTAAAGGGACTTCCGACGCATGCAAGAAGCCACCTCTGCCGAAATTTGAAATTCTCGCGACTTCCGGACACATAAAGCAGGGCAGACGGGGTGGTAGACCTTATGACATTGAGGCCTTAATAATTAGAAGGGTGTTAATGGGGGTTGTTATAGCATAATTCCAAGGGAGCCAAAAGGGAATGCCATTAGAAATTATTCCGACCCCTACATCAACTGGCTGTATAAACCCACTAAACCCTTAACCCTCAATAACCCTCAACCCTCAACCCTGAACCCTAAACCCTAAACCCTAAACCCTCAACCCTAGCTACATAGCGCTGCCTGGAGTGCCTCCGACGCAGCCTTCATCTCCCGAGCCGTGGCCTGGCGACGTATGGTTCGTAGTTTTTTTTTTTTTTTTAGGGTTTAGGGTTTAGGGTTTAGGGTTTAGGGTTTAGGGTCCCAGAGGGTCCATTTGTAGTACTATTATGGAATTAGGTACCCAAAAGCCACACTGGATAGGGTTTTGGGGTACCCAAATCCATAATAGTACCACAAATGGACCCTCTGGTGTCTGTACAATAATTGAAAAAGTACTATGGTAGTATATCAATACAACACATAAGAAGATACTACTAGGGTCTTCAGGTTTCCTGAGGACGATCTTGTGGGTGGCGTTTGCCTTTCAGCTAGAAGGATCGCTGCCCGTGTCGGAGTGCTCCTGCTTAAAGAAAAACAAACGCCCTTCTGGGATTCAACTTCGCACTCAGCACGACTCAGAGCCCAAAGGCCCGAATCCCTGAAGGGCTGTGCCCCTTTTCTGGTGCACGGCACCGTCTGCAGATTCTCAAGCTGCTACAGAACCCCAAGACTTCTTGCGACATCACTGACTGAACTCGGAAGCCCAGGAGCTTTCGGGGTTTGGGTTTAGGGTTTAGGGTTTAGATGGTTTAGGGTTTAGGGAGTAGGGTCCAAAACACATAGGAACTGTGCAGCCCTGCACCCTCGAAGATCGAAGCCACTGACGTCAAAACCACGGATCACTGAGCCGCCAGCACCCCCTTGTTGACTCCCTGCGAAGACCACTGAAGCCCCAGAGCCACGAATTCCCACACTTCCAAAGTCCCAAAAACCCTAGACCCTAGACCCTAAACCCTGAATCCCAAGCCCTAAACCCCCCGAAACCTCGAAGCCCAACCAAGAATGCACAAGCGTCCGGAAACATTCGCGTCCTCGCCTCAGCCTCGGCTTTTCGAGTTCGGAGACCCCGAAGTTGCTCTGAGGTGACCTCGCAGGAATGTTTGTGCTTTAGGGATGAGGGTTGGGATGTTCCCCCCTTATACTAACCGTCCTTCCTAAACCCTAAACCCTAAACCCTAAACCCTAAACCGCATTTTTGGATGTTCACGGTGAGGATTTCTTCTATGGGTCTCCAAGGGCTCTAGGACTCTAGGATTTGCTTGGGGGTTCGTAGGGGGGCTCTGGGTCTTCTGTGATCTGAGAAGTTTCTTGGTCGAATGTGCTAGCGCTTTCGGCACTTTCGGGTTTTCTCTATCGGTTTTTGAGGGGCTTTCGTCCTTGACGCTGTCTCTTTGGCACTTGCCACTCAGCTAGACGCTGAACACTTTCCAAGTTTAAAGTTTCTTCTGCCGCCCGCATAGCTGAACTGTCAAAACTATAGGTTGGGATGTTCCCCCTGGTTATACTAACAGTCCTTACTAGGAATTCTAATAAGGAGCATTTGCTAGGGACTATAATAGGGGTACTAGAATCCCTATTCAGGACTGCTAGTCTATAAGGGGGAATATTATCCCAAGTTGCGGTGCTCCAGGTTTGAGCTCCGGTCTGCCGGGTTGCCCTGCACCCAACATCTGAGGCGCCCTTTACTGGGGTAGGTTTGGGGGGGGGGGGGGGGGGGGGGAAGGGGGCGGGTATAGAGAATTACATGTTTGAATTGTGGCTTTATAAGGATTATGTAGGGGATGTAGGGCAATCACAACTCAGAATCATGTTCAATCCAACCCCTATCTTATGCAGAATGGGGGGGGAATTTAAGGTCCTCCTGAACGAGGAATCGCGCTCCAAGGTTCGTGAGCATCCCAGTGCTAAATGAATGCTGAAAGGCGCCCCTTGCAACAGCAATTGTCGAAAGCCGTCTGTTTATAACTTTTTCCGGCCTCCTTATAGATAGAACCAACTAGGAACTGAAACGGTGTTGAGGATCAGCAAAACAAACAACCACCCTAAATCCTACACCCTAAACCCAAACCCTAAACTAAACCCTGCAAAACCCTCGAGTATCAGCCCCTCAAGAGCCCCCGGCGTTGAGCTGGTACCCGACATCCTGGGCCTTCGAGGGGTCCACCTCCTTGGATAGCAAGACAACGTTTCGGGGCTTGGAGAGGTCTGGAACAAACCTATAATGTGTATATATATATATATATACATAGATGTATAGTTGACAAGTGAAAAGTTTATAGAGTTGACTCTGGGATGAAAAAAAAGAAGTGAAACCATGGTAAGGGCCACATTCGGGGCTCTTGAACCCAAAGAGGGGTTGATCTTCGATGAGGCTTAGAAAAGAATCACAGGGTCCTTAAGGCAGGGGAGGGTGGGGGGGTGGGGGGAGGCACCGACGGAACCTCAGGGAAGCTTAGGGAGCCTTAGGGAGTAGTGGGGAGTATTAGGGTTACGGGTTTAGGATGCCTTGTGGTTTATGAGCGGATTGTTGACTCTGGCTTCACAAAGGCCACCCGCTATATACGCTCATCAATATCCCTGAGGTGCCCTAAGTTTCACTCACCACACTACTACTTGCTCGAGACCCCACCCCCGAAAAAGAAAGACACATGAGAATACACATAACAATACTAATCCCAAAAATGCCCTTATAACGAAGAATATTCGATTTCTTTGGTGGTGGTTCTTCAGCAAATCGTCGGGCCCTAAACCCTAAACCTCGTCCCAGGCACAGCATCGCTCTTGAGAGCCTCCGGAGTGCAGCAATCGACTACCGGGTCTAGGGCTTGGGGGCGCAGGCTTGTGGTCGCATGGGGGGGGGGGGGGGGGGGCGCTGGCTTCCATTGCATGTTGCATCCACAGAGCAAAAGCGGGTCCCAAAAATGCGCACACTTTCAGTGCTATTGGGGGGTGATCGTATCCCAAAAAGTGTAGAGTGCACCTAGGTTTAAAAGGGTACAATGGGTACAATACCCTTCATTTGTGCGTTTGATTGGGCTTACAAGAATGAGTTTACACGGAGATCCGCACCCTAACAGTACCCTAAACCCTAAACCCTTTTCCCTCAACCCTAAACCCTAGAGGCTGCTGGAGAGTCCTCATACTGCTCCTGCACTGGAAAAAAAATGTGGGCGGAGTGGTGCCCTGCCTCGTCCTGCTGGAGCACTCCGAGGATGTACATCCTTGAGACGGCTTAGGGTTTAGGGTTTAGGGTTTAGGGTTTAGGGAACAGGTTTAGCGTTTTGTTGGCGCTCGCATGGCTGGACCAACCACTCATCAGGTCTCTGACTATCTCGATTTCTCAACGTTTGGGGGTAGGGCTCAGGGTTTAGGATGAATTTTGTGTTGCTGAGTCGCAGTAACTGTAGGGGCCTGGGCTTGACGACTCGAACCTAGACCCGAAATCAGCACGCAAAAATGCCAAATCTCAGCATGTTCTCGAAGAGCCGTAAACCCGAAACCCCAAACTCCAAACCCTAAACCCTTTTACAGCAGGCCTCGGTTCACAGCAGCCCGGTTCCAGCATCACACTCACTACTGCAGAGCGAGCAAACCCTAAACCCTAACAAGCCCCATGAGCCCTCAACTCTCTGAGAGTGCAAGGCAGGCTTCCAGCGGCGCTGCTCCAGCTCCAACTGCAGCTTCGCCTGGGCCGGTCACCCTGCACACACACACACACACACACACACACACACACACACACACACACGCACGCACGCACGCACGCACGCACGCACGCACGCACGCACGCACGCACGCACGCACGCACGCACGCACGCACACACAAACAACAGACATGGGAAATGCATACATAAACATATACCAATACATATACATGTACATGTGCATGTACATATACATATACATATACATATACATATACATATACATATACATATACATATACATATACAGAGAGAGAGAGAGAGAGAGCGAAAGAGACTGCTACACATTTTGTCACACGCACAGTGTGTGTGTGTGTGTGTGTAATTATGAAAGAATATGAAAGAATGCATATGTACATGTGTACCATACATATATATATATACATATATATCTGCATATAATGTTGTTTCGGCAGTTATGCGAGACTTTTGGGTTTGGGGAGTTTGGGATCCTATGCCCCAATAATTAGGTGGAATGTCAGTCGTGGAACCTTGGACATTCAGTTCCTTGCTCTTTCCTGCAGGGAGAAAGTAGTAATTAGCTGGCAAAAGCCACGATTGTCTACGGTTCAGGCAGGAGGAAAATAAATCCAGTAGCCCGATGTCAAGCACTCTACGCCTCGACGTTGCGTGCGTCGCACGTTGCAAATCCTTTCCGCGCAAAGCCATGAAACCGCAAACTCCTGCAAATTGCTGTGTGACCCAAGTATGTCTATACTCCCCTTAGAACCTTAATGAACATAATATTTTTTAATTATATCCTGTCGGGTTTTATATAAACAACATTTTGAAAAATGATTCCCAAGGGGGATATAGAAGCATCTCGGCTGAGGGAGGACGAGCCTCGTTGTTCCCCTCTCGTGCAGTTCGAAGCTCTTTCTGCAAGCCTGGTCGAGTCCAAACGGTGGACCCAAAAACTTTGAGAGCCTCTTCTCCAAGTCCTTGAATCCCTAACCCCCAAAGCAAGAGAATAGAAACTGCTTCAGCTCTCAATGGTGTGTAGGGGAAGGTCGCTTGATACCTGGTCCAGACCCGAAAGCCTCTCAAAGCTTCAAGAAGCCCTTTTTCCATCTGGGACCTGTGCAACTATAAGGCCCCGATAAGGCCTTCGTTTTTAAGGAGCCCTACTGCCCTGTTCTTGCAGCAGGACTCCTCACCACAAGCCCTATAAACCCTAAACCCTAAACCCTAAACCCTGAACCCTTTTCCAAGAGACCCTAAACCCTAAACCCGTTCTGATGCTTGTTCCCCAAGTTGCTGGACCCAGGGTCCTGCCTGCCACGCGGTCCTCAGCGCTTTTGGCAGCCTTCTCGAGTTCCTGACTTTAGGGTTTAGGGTTTAGGGTTTAGGGTTTAGGGTTTAGACTCTACCATGCAAGGTCATGATGCATGCGTTCTGTATAGCTACATGGTAGTATGACGTGGTGCTGTGTTTATATTCTTTTTGTCTTCATGTGTTCCTGCTGCAGCCTGATTGGCGGGGTCCTCCATGTGCGCAGCACTCGTCTCCCCGTAACGCGCTGACTTTGCGTGGTTTGGGAAGATTCGCATATGCGCTGGATCAGCTCCATCGCGCAAGAAACATTCGCTGAGGCTTGCAAGTTCTAATCTCCTCCCCCAGTATGAAGCCCGGAATATGTTCTATCCCCAGAATACTCTAATACACTATGACTGGAGTCGCTAATCAAAGTCAATAGGTAGGGGGGGGGGGAAATATTACGTAGGTGAAGAGGCTTCCTGCGGCTTCACAAAGCTATGTCCGTCAGCCCTAGAGCGATCGTTTTGTGCCCCGCCTCGCTATGGGTCTTCTTCAGGCGCGTTATCCTTGGAAGCAGTGCACATCTCAGCATATTTGATGAAGGCCCCCCGACCCTGCAGGCATACCGCACGCCGCAGCACGCAACCGTATAAAGTTCAGTTGAGAGCACAAGTCTTTCAAGCACGCTCAGCCTGCCCAGAAAGCCGCGGTATTGTCACCTATTTGATCACGTATGAGGCTTATAACGAGAGGAATTTAAAACTGCTTCAAGGTTCCTGATCAGAGTTGGGAGGTCCAGTCCCATCACCCTGAACCCTAAACCCTAAGCCCTAAACCCTAAAGACCTACCCCTTGACCCTTAAACCCTACAGTGTCTGTCTAAGAGAAATCAAGACATCTGGCTCCGAGATGCTGCCCTTCCAACTCAGCACACTTCTTCTCCAGCACCTGCAAAGTATACTGAAAATTGGAACCCTAGCAAAAACTTTTTTGCTGTTTCTTAGGAATTTGAGTGCCCAAGAATTAACAATTATTTCCAAGTTTCCCTAAGAAAACAGCTTTGCAGAGACTCCCGTGGGCTCAAGGCAGAACGAGCTGCGCCCTGAGTAGGCCCCTGGTTTGAACTTGAGGCTGAGGCTCAGGGTTCAGGGTTCAGCATTTCGGGTTTAGGGCTTCGTGCCGCGGGACCTTAGTTGTAATTAACCCCCCAAGAAAGGAACAAAATAGGGTTCGGCCCTACCTGACGCGCTATTCAGTCTCTGTCTCTGTTGCATGCGAACATAGCGACAAGCTGCAAAGGTGCGCGCTTTGGAACGGTCGAGCTTCAAAATGATAATTAGTGGTGTTGGGGGCCGTGATGTTGGGCACAGGAAGCCCTAACCCCTAACAACATTCCAGATTGAGGAACTCTTGATGGGCCATATGTTGTGCAAGGGTCTCATGCAAAACTACAGCATACGAAAGCCCTAACCCTGCAAGTGGTATTTGGCTAAAACCCTAAACCCTAAACCACACGGAGCCCTCTCTCTCTCTCGCAGCCTCGGGTTCGTCAGCTGACGTCCTTCGCCAGCAAAGCCAGTGCTCTTAGAGCCAGGCCAACACCGCCCATCTTAAGCAGTGTCTAACACAACTACAGACTACACATACATATATATGTATATGTATATTATTATTGTTATTCTTATTATTATCATTACTACTATTATGATTATATATATATATATTTATAGATATATGTATATCGTGCCCACACCTTGGAAACCCTGAACCCTAAACCCATGAATCGCAAGAAGCCGTAAACCCCAAAAAGCCGTAGCTTTGCCCCCCCAAAAGGCCTTGAAGTGATGTTGGTAAGGCACACGGAGCTAACCCTTTTGCAGAAAGATCCACAACATGTCAAAAGCAATCTGCTGAGGTGTGGGAAGTATGCAATAGCTCACTACCTCAAGCAGGAACAGCACGCGCGACGAAATCATCGGGGCACAGGTCGAATTGCAGACTATGTGGGCCGTTTGTGGCTCAGCACAACGCAGGAAGCACAGTCGACCTAGGACCTAGTACCTCATCGGTGTTCCCAGCTCCTTGCCCACACAGTCCAGAAGCATGAATCCGCCTTGACTGTGCTTGGGACAATATTTGAAAAAGTCGGGATCCGTGTTGGTGTCCTCCATGCGCATCCGGCGGAGGTCTGCCAGGACGGCGTCGAGCTGCTCGTTGAGCCCAAAGCGCGCGTGGCGCGCCACGTCGGAGCGGGCGGCCCACCAGGACTCCTCATGCGCATCTTCCAAGTTCCCAGAGGTGCGCACGAAGCTCCGGACCGCACCTTCCCAACGCCGGTTGCGGCGCGGAACCGCGGATCGCGCGGCCTTGTCCGCAGCGGTCAGGACGAGCCTGGGGCCCTTCCGCAAGGGCGAGGTGCCCCAAATCCGCAGCTCAAAATAATCCTCCGGCGGGTTCCAGCTGCGGACCAAGGCTTTGGCTGGTGGAGTCAATATCCTTGGCAGCCCAGTAACCATATTCTCACAACAGGGCACACATGTTTTGGGGCTCGTGACTGTGCAAAGGAACCCGGAACCAACAGAAAGGGACAAAAAAGGGGCACTAATTACTGAGCTGGCAAAGTATCTCTGGTGCTATGGTCACCAGCTTTGCTGCGGCCTGAGCCTTCTCCTTGACCTCGTCTTCGTCGAGGTTGGCAACCGGCAGCGCTGGCAGAAATGTTTGGGAGCCCCGTCGGCCCACCGAAGAGCGGCGTCCGGACGGAGACTTTCGGCCACTCGAACCTTTTGAGGCGATGGAGATGACGCTGCCTCGCGACTGCACCTTGTTCAAGGCCTGATTCTCTGCATCACCGGAGATGCTTCTTCGTGCAGAGGCAGAGCCTCTGCGTGTGGGTGTCTCAAGCGTCGTCGACTGTCGGGAATATCTTCTCTGGTGTGATGGCCGGCGGCTGGTCTGAGATCCTGAACGATCGGCCGCCTCCGACCCCGAAGATGGCGGCCGCTCCGTGGCCGTTGCCGGCTGCAATTGGTGTCTGCCACGTGCCAAGACAAATGTCAGTGTCTCCTTGGCTTTGACCTCGACCTCCAGTTGCACGCGGATGGGGCCAGGCCGGTGAGTAAGGCTCTGCGCAGAAGCGAGGATCTTAAAAACACGGCAAGCTCCAAGTTTCGCTGTGCCTGACTCCTCCGCTTCTTCTGCCTTAAGCATGGTTTGCGCACGCTTGGTCATCCCCTTCTTCAAAACCTGTTCTTCACCCTTGTCCTCTTCCTTCTCATCTGACGCCAGCTGCTTCACCCGCTTACCCCAGCGAGTGCCCTGGAGAAGCCACAGCTCCAGTGTGCTACTTGGCTCCGGCAACTTGGCGCGCAGCTCGGCCCTCAACAGCGTCACCCGGTCAGTTTCCAGCTGCACCTGAGGGTTCTGTGCAGTGCCAGGGCCCCCATCCGGGCTCCACTGCCCTCGGACACAGCAGGGACCATCCGCAAAGTCTCCAGCAATACTCTCATCACTGTCCGTGGACTTCTCAGGGAAGAGCTCCAATCGAACTTTGTTAACGAAATTGTCGATGCTTGGATCCTCTGCCAGGGAGTCGTCAGACGCAGCACCATCGTCAGAGCAACACGAACTGTTGCCATTTTCGTTCGCAGGAACGGCGGAGAAGCTCGCCTCACGAACCAGCTCGCACAATTCCCAGATGGACATGCGATCGTCCAGCGCCACAGTTCTGTCCTTGGAAGACCGAAGGGCATCAATGGAACCTGCATCGAGGATATTGGCCAGCTCATCAAAGGTCACACTGCCATGACCAGGCACATGGCCGCTCATCACCCACTGCAGCAACGATGGTAAGTTTCGAGTTTTCGGCCCTATATGGACCCTACAACCAAATCACCTTCGTGGCAAAACAGTTTCGTACTGGGTTGGGAGTGCATTTGGGTCGTCCTGCATTGAAACAGCTGCAGTTGTCAAAAGGGATTTGCATGTGATCTCGGGGCGCTTGGCGCAGGCAATGCAGAAATCCGGATCCAGGGCCGGAAATGTTCTTCCAGTGAGGGGCTGTGGGCTTGGGAAACCCAGCCCGAAAGCCTTGTGGCAGTGCCATGTGGTAATTCGACTGAACTTAGATGAGTTTTGGCTAGATGCTAATACAAGTCTTCGAAACCGGCTTATCAAAAGGAAAGGGTTTCAGAATCGAACGACTGGATCAATTTTCGAACGATTCAAGCCCGCCGCCCGCCTAAACCTTGAGCTCTGCAAACATCCCCCCTCCCCCCCGACTCAAAGTAGAGTTGTAAAGGCCCTATAGGTTGTGCCCTAAACCCTAAACCCTAAACCCTAAACCCTAAACCCTATTGCTAAACTCCCTGTCCCCCCACATGCCACGTGCGCCTCGGGCTTGGGGAAGCGGTTTCGGATCTCTGCCTCCAACTCCTCCTTCTTATCGTGGTAGGCCTTCCAGCCTGCTGGCTAAAAGGGAGTTTGGGTCGTTTCGGGTTTACGGCTCGGAACTGACTCGTGTAACGCAACTTAGAGGGGGGGGGGAGGCGGGGGGGGGGAGGGGGGGTTGAGGAAAGCGGGTAGGCTGGGCTATGGTAGGCTTGGAGTATTCTTATGTTGGGGGGGGAGGGGGGGGGGGCAAATGAACGGGGGTGCGTTTGAGAGGGAGGCTTTGGCGTGGTATGTATACATGTAAAATCATATACATATACATATACATGTATATATATATATATGTGTGTGTGTGCATTATTTGTTTTTGCTTTGTACACATATGTATATATATATATATGTATATGTACATGGCGGCCAAGAGTTTAGGGTTTTGGGATGTTATCGGGTGTCGAGGCTTGGAAAGTCGTAACTGCAACTTGCCCTCCAGGTTGGTGATACGCTTTTTCGTTCGTAGAACGTGACGTCTCGTGGTTGCCGACGGCTCTAAAGTTGGCTCAGCCTTGGCTAAACCCTAAACCCTAAACCCTAAACCCTAAACCCTAAACCCTAAACCCTAAACCCTCTCAACTCTTAGGAGAACCTGCCAGCGAGTCGCATGTCTCAGCGCTGGCGCGCTGCTTGTCCGCCTCAATGCGCTGCGTTCGGCAAGCCCTGGCTGCGAAGCGAGCTGCCCACTCATGGTAAAGTCGGGGCAGGGTTCAGGGTTCAGGGTTCAGGGTTCAGGGTTCAGGGTTCAGGGTTCAGGGTTCAGGGTTCAGGGTTCAGGGTTCAGGGTTCAGGGTTCAGGGTTTAGGGTTTAGGGTTTAGGGTTTAGGGCTAGGAGTAGGGGCTTTGGGGTCCATCATCCAAGCCACTGTAGGGCCTAGGTTATGCTCAGATTTCCTTGACTACCTCGTGAAGGTAAATTCATGGCCCAAGCACGGACCATGAGCCTTCCACGCTTTGAGGCTTCGAGGTTCCCCAAACCCTAAACCCTAAACCCTAAACCCTAAATCCTATAAACCCTAAACCCTTTATAAAACCAAAACCTTAGAGCTTCGTAAGGGATGTCCTTGGCCAACTCGTGAAAGCCTCCCAAGGAACCGCAACATCTCAACTACGTACTCGATATGCATAATGGCATAGGGGGCCCTCCCCTTGCGGTACTTAGAAGTACAGTAGTAAGGGGACTTTTTTGTTAAGGGTTTAGGGCTTAGGTACGCATGCCCGCCATTGCCAGACTGATAGCCCAACTGAAAGCCACTTAATATCTAGGGCCCTTCTAGCGCACCCCCAGGCCTGAATCCTAAACCCTAAATAGTTACACTGTCCCTTAATATGGCCACTTTCCTTCTGTAAAGGGTTCTATATGGTTCTATGTATGGGGTCCCTATTGAAAGGCCCATACTACGGGACCAGGTAACTACCCCTAGACTAAAAAACCAACAACAACGACTATGATTAGTCTTCCGGTAATTCCTCTTCCTATGTACTTTTTATGGTTACCCCAAACTAACACCCCAAACCCCCACTACTACTAGTAGTATTAGTACTATTACTATGATTAGTAGTATAGTACAGTACTAGTAGTCATATTGAGTCGTTGTAGTCGTAGTCTTCTCGTCTCCAGCGCGCGCCTCTCGGCCTCGTCTGCCTTGGAACCTCGCAGCTACCAACAGGAGGCCCTAAGACTTGGAGGCTTGCGAGTCTCGAGGAATTCAAAATTTGGGGAATGTTTAGGGTTTAGGGCTTAAGGGACTTTATGTAGTTCCCTAAATTCGGGTCTTTTTTTGGGGGTCCTTGAAAAAAGGACCCTAATATAGAGAATGTCCCGGAGTAACTATCCATTTTAGGATAGGGTTGTTTGGGCAGTGCAGTGCAACTCCTTTTTTTGAGGGGGGGGGGGGGGGGGGGGGGGGGGCTTTGGGGGCATAATTAGATGGGTCGGATGTTAAGGTTGGTAATTGCATCAACCACATGTGTGTGTGTGTGTGCGCGGCGTTTTATAGGGGCGCACAGACGCCTGGCGACAACGTACTCTCCCAAGCTCACAAGTTTTTTTGTCTGCCGGCATGTTTTTAAAGGTTTGGCGTTCAAGGTTTGTGTTTACGGTCTAGGGCTTCTGCAGTACGGCTTGAGGCCCTGAGGGCCCTGGGCTCCAGGAATCTTAAAGAACCAGAGCCCGGAGAATCCAGAAAGCTAAGCCGGCCAGCTCCATGTACAGCCTTAAGGAATTTCACTACGAAACGAGGCCCGAAACAAATTTTGTGATAGGTAGCCCACGGGCCGCCCAGACTGTCTTTAGTAAGTTTGTCTGGCCACCCACGGTAATACAGAGTTTTTTTTCCGGATGATTGTTTTAAAGGGTTTGTGTTTAGGGTTAAGGGCTTACGCAGTAAGGCTTGAGGCCCTGAGGCCCTTGGGTTCCAGGAATCTAAAGGCTGGAAAGCTTCAGGCCTTGAGGTCCGAAAGGCTTGAGGCCCTGAGGGCGGTTCCCCCCCCCCCCCCCCAATTTGTTTGGTCCAAATTTGTTTGGGGGGGGGGGTGTCCTGTCTATTAAAGCCACTGCAACATTAAACCCTAAGCCCTTGCCGAGGTCCCTGCGCTGCTGGTGCAGGTCCAGCTCGAGCTCTCGAATCTTGGTCTTGGCCGCATCCTTGGCCCAAAGCCATTTCCAAAACAGCGTTTCGGGCTTTTAGGGTCAGGTTTTAGGGTTTATAGGGTATAGGGTATAGCTGATAGGGTATAGGGTTTGGGGTTTGGGGTTTAGGGTTAGGGGTGTATCGATGACCGTTGAGCACCCGTCAAGCAGAGGTTCGATTTTGTGGGGTGCGTAAGGGGCTACGAAGCTTCATCCCCGGGGTCCGTGGGTTGGGATGTTGAACAGGGAGTATAGTGCCCCCTGTTATCGTCCCCATTAAGGACTGTGAGTATAAGGGGCAACATCCCAATCCAGCTCCTTAATAATAGGGAGTATAGTGCCCCCTATTCTCATCCCTATCTAGGACTGCGAGTAGAAGGGGGAACATCCCAATCCATGGGGTTCTGTACCTCCTTTCCTGGGGCTCTTGAGACCCTAAACCCCATATTATATCCTTGCAGCAGGCCTTAACCATAAACCCTCACTAAACCCTTTTTGCAACTGGACTCTAAACCCTAAAGCCCCAAACCCTTTTTTGCATCCGGGCTAGGAGTTCCTGGCCGGAAAGTCTTAGCAACACTCTCAGACCCTAGCACCCTAAACCCTAAACCTGTACTCCCCTCAGAACCCGAAGGAAAAAGGAATTTTAATATCCCCTTTGGGTTCTGTATAAGTAAGAAGAGACAATGATCCCTAAGGGGGCTATAGAAACCCTAAACCCCAAACCTCCTAACCCCTAAACCCCAAACCTCCTAAACCCTAAACCCTAAACCCTAAACAAGAAACCCTAAACTCCAAACCTCCTAAACCCTAAACCCCAAACCCTAAACCCCAAACCCTAAACCCTAGACTCTAGACCCGAAACCCTAAACCCCAAACCTCCTAAACCCTAAACCCCAAACCCCAAACCTCCTAAACCCTAAACTCTAAACCCTAAACCCCAAACCTCCTAAACCCTAAACTCTAAAACCCTAAACCCCAAACCCTAAACCCCAAACCCTAAACCCTAAACTCCAAACCTCCTAAACCCTAAACCCTAAACCCCAAACCCTAAACCCTAAACCCTCCTAAAAGGCGGAGCCATGGATCCAGGGCTGCTCGGAGCTCCTCAGCCTCCTTCGAGAGCGGCTGCGCGCTCGAGGCGGCGCTCCTGGGTCTTCAGGGTTTAGGGTTCTAGGGTTCTAGGGTTCTAGGGTTCTAGGGTTCTAGGGTTTAGGGTTCTAGGGTTTAGGGGTTAGGGTTTAGGGTTTAATTAGGGTTTAGGGGTTAGGGTTTAGGGTTCAGGGGTTTAGGGTTTTTTGGGGGCTTAGGGTTTTTGGGGGTTAGGGGGGTTTAGGGTTTAGGGTTCTAGGGTTGTAGGCTTTAGGGGTTTTGGGGTCTAGGGTTTTGTTTGTGTTGGAAAGGCTTTACGAGGGTTATGAGTGGGGCAATTGGTTTAAAGGTTAGGGTTCTAGGGTAACTGGGCTTAGGGTTTTAGGGTTTTGTTTGTGTTGGAAAGGTCTTTACGAGGGTCATAGGTAGGGTAATTGCGTTTAGGGTTCTAGGGTTATAGGGTTTCAGGGTTTAGGGTTTAAGAGTTTTAAGGTTTTAGGGTTTCGGGTTTAGTATAAGTAGGGCTTATAGGTAGGTAAGTAGGGGTGATAGGCAGGTCAGCAGGGTTGTCCGTAGGGTAATTCTAAGTAGGGATCAGGTTATAACCTTGCTTCCTAAACCCTAAACCCTAAACCCTAAACCCTAAACCCTAAACCCTAAG